ACTCATGAACCATGAGTTCATGACCTGAGCTGAAATCAACAGTTAGTAGCTCAACTGACTGAGCCATCCAGGCCCCCTGAAATAGCTTTTATCAATATCGCTTCACTTGTAGGGGATTATACAACCTAACTTTCAGGTTAATTTTGCTGACTTAGATTGAAAAAATGTAACAGGAGGTTCTAAGAACTGCTTATTGTTATTTAGCAAAATACTCCACCTGTCATTTTACCTTAGGAAACACTGGACTCATACTTTCCCCCTCTTTGTGGGTGCATTTAAAAATAATAGAATGTGTGGGGATTACCAGAGATAAGAGGGTAGGAATTAAAAGAAAATGGATCTCATTTTATTGTTTATGAGTGTTCGCTTCTTGCTTGGCTCCTTTTTGTTAGTGACCTCCAGGTCTTTGACTTCCTGAATATTATTTTTCACCTTTTGTTCCTTCCTTAAAGAAGGAAAAGCATGTTATAATAGAAATGAATAATCTAATGCTATCCTGCTGTGACTCCCTACTGTTCCTTGTCTCTCCTTCTTGCAAATCTGTGTTGTCACACGCAAGTATAATGTATACAGCGCATTTTACCAGCCGCCTCCACCCAGCCTTCGCCTAATGTAGTTGCTTCACCACCAGCCACGAGAGAACAGATTGCCCGTTACATCACTCAAGTGTATTGTTCTCATTTCTCCCTATGGCATATGTTCCTTCTAGATGCTTTTTAGCTCGTGGTTAAGGAGAGGCAAAACATATTCTGCATTTTAAGATTAATATTACATATACTTGACTTTTACAAGGCTAGACACCCTGGGGATTGACGTTTAATAGATGTTAATGGAATTTAATTTTTACGCACCCTATGTGAGAACATTTATCTTTGGAATAAAATGGTATGAAACCTGTGTGGCACCAAGAAAATTTCATAATAAATGATTTTTCACTCTATACCCTTAAATCAAGTTATAGAGTCAGAGCAAAGTGGGAAAGCTGTTTCTTGATATTTAGAATTGAGAACCTGAATATAATTATCATTAATTTATTACACTGAGAGTATCAATAGGCATTTTGCCAGAGTTATCACTAGAACAAAACAATTCTAAAATGGTGCCTATAAAGAAACTTTTCTCACAACCTACTTTTCCATTGATTTTTATTAGGTAAGAAATTCTTTCTGAAAAAAGAAAAAACCTGACTCCAAACATATTAAATAATAAACAGCATGATAAATGTTCTGAACATTTTCATGTAAAGAAAAAACTCTAATAAAGCAATACCACTCAGAAGTACTTGTAAAATTATAGGTACTTGACAATGTATGTTGAGTAAATTAGCTTGTTCTAATGCTCTGCCTAGAAACATAATAGCCACTTAGTTTTTTTAAAGTACATTTTTGCGCGAATTGGAAATATAGTTTAATTTCAGATTTCAGCTAATGTTATGATTCATAGAATTTGGATAATTAATTCAAGAGATTAGAAAATAGCACCTTTGTAATCTTCCTAATTAATGAACTAATATATAGTAAAAGAAACTATCCATTTGTTCTATACATATTAAATAGGCTGAGATCTCTCCAGTTCCAATTAATGAAGAAACCTCTTCTCTTTTCAGTTCAGTGACTGGCACTGGAATGCCTACTTAATACACATTTGATGATCAGTAGATGAATGATTTTGACAGGAGCCAGGCACTTACAGAAAAATGAGGTAGTGCAGCAATGGTGAAGGGCATACGAGGAAATCGATCTGGTTGCTCTTCTGGTTCTATCCTGAGCTAGCTGTGTGACCTCAGGTAAGTAGGTTGACCTTCTGAGCCTTGACTTCCCCCATGTAAACGTGGATGTTTGAGATAATCTCTAATGGCCTCCTCCCTCCCAAACCCTAGTTCTAAATGTTAAAATTAACCAATCATTGCCAGTTTTGCTTTGGACTTTAGCCATGGGTAGAGCTATACTTAGGGAACAAACCCTCTGCGTTAGAAATTACATGTAGTGGCCTCTAGAACTAAATCTATGCTGAGGCAAGCAGTCGAAAGATAGAAGCCTTGAGGGTTCACACATAAAAGGTGGGAGCCAGTGTAGGAGACCAGAGAAGTAGAAGGATATCTAGAAAAAGCGCCCCTGTAGTTCAGAAGTCTCCAGACAGCAGGTTTTCTCTAGAGGTAACAGTAAGTTTTATTTATGACTGATTAACAACTGATTAATTTATAAAAGGCTTCGCTTCCAAAGAGAGCACCAGGATACTTTATTTCCTAATTGGATGGTGACTTTGCACATAAATAAAGGAGAATCACTGCTGCCTGTTGGGGAGACAGTTTGATAAGGCAGGTTTGTTGTCTTCCTCTTGATTTACTATGTGACCTTGGGCCAGTCATTTATCTTCCCCCAAACCAGATTCGCTAATTATAAAATGGAAATAAAAATACTTGCTGTCTTCACAGAGGATTAATGAGACAAGGTGAATGTCTTTAAGCTCCCAGAGAAGAAAAGGCTGTATACAAGGAAGCAAAGAACTGCTAAGAAGCTGCTGGACTTTTTCACATGACTTGGGAAAGAAGAAATCCACAAGGATAGAACCTCAGAGCTTTAAGTTTTCTAGTCTAAAAAAAGTGTTTGGGGGCGGCGGGACTCCTATGTTAAGACCAGCCCAATCTTTCCTCCAGCATTCACTGGAACTGGAAAGGTCAGCAGCTGGGAGGCAGTCGCTGAATTTACTCCTCCAGAGTTCTACCTCTTGTTGCATCCTGAACAGTGACATCTGCGTCCTCAATTTCTTCTTATGTAAGATACTGAATGTGATACTACTTAGTTATGTACATGGAGATACATGTATAGATGCCGGATATGTAGTGAATTCCAGATAAGCTCTCTGCTGTAACATGTCTTTAGCTGCATAATTCAAACTGCTGGAAGGTTTTCCCCCTAGAAATCAAAGATTTAGGAAAAAAATCAGTTCTCTTAGGAAAGAGCGTTGGGGTACAAAGGTACACGTGATGTAAACATTCTTAATTTAAAAGGGGGGACAGGGAATTGATATAAAGATTGGATTCACCTCACTCTCTTACACTGAATAAAACGTGTTTGGACAACGCCTTAAAATTCGCCCGCGCGACCGCAAGGGGGCACTGTGAGCCTGCTTTGGCATGGGAGAGGCGACAGCAGCGGGGGTCCGACAGGACAGAATCCCCGTTCAGGAGAAACGTACCCCCAGCTCGGCCCCGGAAGGAGTGGCCTTGGTGACAGCAGCAGCGAGGGGCTACAGGCGGCCTGACAGCTCTTGGAGATCGTTTCCCTCCCACCCCGCAACAAGTCCCTTCCTGGCAGTTTCTTTCTGGCGGCGGTTTCATAATGTGGGATCCGCTAGTGCCTGAGCTTGGAACCCCAGGCACCTTTGCCCCGTAACCCCCCCTTCCCTCCCCCCCCACCCCGCTCCCGAACTGCGGGGAACATTTTGGGTGCGTCTAGGTGGGGGGTGTTTCTCTGGGCAGAAGGGTCAAAGCTGTCCTTAAGGTGTCTGTGTCCCTTAAGGGGTTAAGCTTTTCTGATTTAGGGAAAGAGGACTCTCCCCTCCCCCACTCCCCAAAAACCAAACGCGCAATTCTGGAAACGACTCTGAAAGCATCAGTAGTCTGTCTCCAAGGTCCAGGCCAGCGCATGGCACTCCCCACCGGACTCCTTCAGGAACCGCGCCCAGTTTAGGTCCTGAAACATCTCAGGTGCCAAGTTGAATCGCCCCTTCTGCGAAAAGAGAGGAGACCGTGAACCTTCCCCCAGCGAGTACCTCGACCAACATTCTCTTAGCCCCAAGAAGAGGTCAGAAAATTCAGGGAATTTAGGCGAGGCACTGCCTCTGTTCCCCGTGCCGCTCGGGTCCCCACTCCCAGGCGTTTCCCAGGCATCGGGCAAAAGTGGGCAACTCGACCGATTCTCTTCCCCAGAGAGAAAGTCTAGGCGCGCGTCTTGCGTAAAGCGGGCTGGGTCGCGGTGTGTCAGCGACCCCGCGACCCCGACCCCGGGCGGGCGGGAGGAGGGAGGTCTGCCCCCCAGGCTCCAGGACAGTTTGCTTGCAAGTGTCCCTGGGGACAGAGCCACCCGGGGAGTTAGGGCAGAATGCGCGGTGGGCGGACCGGAGTGAAAGCACAGTGGAGACGCGGGTGAAAGCACCCGGCAGAAAGCAGCGTGGGGGGCCGGGTGGAACGCGCTGGCCCGGGGGAAACGTACGACTCATCCCAAACTTTCGCAGACTCCGGGGCTCAGGAGGCGAAGGCCAGGCAGAAGCACCAGCTTCTTCCGCCGCCCGGCGCGCCCAGCTGCAGCAAGGAGGGGCGGCGCGCAGCGCAGGCTGGACTCGGCGGCCCCTCATCGCACCCACCCGCCGGGCTAAAGTGCCATCGCGCGGGGCTCTGGGCGGGCGTCCCCGGAGGAAGCCAGACCGCCGGGCTCCGGCCTGCGCGCCGGCTCCGAGGAAGGGGCTGTCACTTGGACTGGGCAAGGAGGGGCGCAGCTTGGCCGCACGGCCTCGCCCGGCCGGGTCAAGCAGCCGAACGTGCCCTTGGGCTGCCCGCGGGCGCGCCGGCTGAAGTCGGGGAGCCTCGAGAAGAAGTGAGCGCAGAGATTTCCACGAGCCAGAGAAATCGGATTAAAAAGAAACGCACCGAGCGACCCAAGGCGGCCGCGGGAGCCGGGCAGCTTAGAAGCCACCCTCTGCGCGCCGGGAGGACGACAGTGACTCGCACTCGCGAAGACCAGGCGCTCCAGGGCGGCCGCGGGTCCGCGCGGAGGAGCCGCCTCCCCAGCGCGGGGCGCGCGTTCAGACGCCGCCACCGGCCGCCGGAAGGCGAGATGCGGCGCGCGGCTCCCGGCCGGTCCCGGCGGAGCAAACTCCGGGGCGGCTCCGCGCGCCGCTGACCCCGCGCGAGTCCGAGGGCTGTGCCGGCCCCGCCCGCCTCCGCCCCCTCCCGCGCCCGCCGCGCGCCCCTCCCCGCGGCGGCGGCGGCGGCGCATCCAGGGGCGGCGCGGAGCGGCTCGCCCAGCCGCCAGTGCCTGCGAGCTCCGGGCTGCTTGGGGAATTCACTTTGCCCCTTTTACGCTTCTCCCTCCTCGGGATTCTTCTGGTGGCTCTCTGGCTCCGGCCCTCTCCTTTCCTTTATACGGAAAACTTCGCAGCGATTCCTCTTTCCCCTTGGAGGAGAGGATTAAAAGTTCCAAGAACTGGTGCCGCCCGTGCGGCTCGGGCGCCGGGACGGGGCTTGCCGGCGGGGTTCCAGTCTCGCCATGTGCACCAACATAGTTTACGAGTGGCTGAAAGCGCTGCAGCTCCCGCAGTACGCCGAGTCCTTCGTAGATAACGGCTACGATGACCTGGAGGTGTGCAAACAGATCGGGGACCCGGACCTGGACGCCATCGGGGTGCTGGCTCCCGCGCACCGCCGCCGCATCCTGGAGGCCGTGCGCCGGCTGCGGGAGCAGGATGCCGCCGCCGCCGGCCTCTACTTCACTCTGGAGCCGCAGCCGCCGCCCGTGCCGCCCGCGGTGCCCGTGCCCTCCGGCCGCCGGGGGGAGCCGTGTGGCGGCCCGGCCTCGGCCGCCCCCCGCAGCAGGGAGCTGGTGAGCTACCCCAAACTGAAGCTCAAGATCATGATCAGGGATAAGCTCGTCCGCGACGGCATTCACCTGAGCAAGCCTCCGTACTCCCGCAAGGTAAGGAGGCGCCGCCGGGGCGCGCGGCGGGAGGGGACACGGCCCAGTCGCTGCAGCCCATTCCAGGTGACGACGGGGAGGCAAGGACGCTTGGGGTATTTGGGATGCTCTCCTCTGTCCTTTCTGTATTCGCTCTTTAGTCCTTCCTTCCTGGTATCGCCAGCGGATGGTAAGGCACGATCCCGCACCCAGGTGTCACTTCTAAACTAGGACCAGGTCTCTGCTTAGAGTCTGATGCTCACCTGTCCGGGGCCGCATGAGCGGCGCTTCTCCAGGAGCAAAGGGCAATTCCAGATCCCTTCTGTGGTAGTGGTTAAGTCTGACAGGTACCAGAAGAGTGGTTCATACCTACATTGGTGTCCACCCTCCTTCTCCTTCTTATCCTTCCCTTTTGGAGACATGTCCAAAGGGAAATTGACGAACTCTTTAAGGAGTGGGGAATCAAGCCCTGTTCTTCCCAAGTCCATGAAGTCAAATCCCAGCACTGCTGCGCGTCTGTAAAGGGAACCACTGACATGGACATTCTGGGGGGAAAGTAGAACAAATGTCCGTCTACTTGGGATGAGTTCTTTCCGCTGAGGTTCAGGGAGGTAATTGGTGCTAAAGACATTGAAGATAACGGGGCCAGGGAGGCTTGCTGCTCTGGTCTGTGCCAGGTCACCAGTTTGGTTTAGAACCCCTGTGAGTTCTAGAAAGTCTTGAGTGGACTTGCATTTGGGAGGGGAGAGCACGGTCCAAGGAAGTGAGATTTTCAGTGGCCAGTGAGGAATTCCCACCCCCCACCCCCCCCACACACACACCCAGGGGTGTAAGGAACTGGGAAGTTACGAAAAGTGCTCTGTGAGGAAGGCTGAAATACGGACTTAGGAGTTGAATAATTAACAGAAAGTCTTATTTTCACGCAAGAGCTCTCCCTCCAGCTGAGTCTGTTCCGTTTAGGTTTCTGGAGCCATCTAAGTAGAGGGTCTTTGCCTTGAAAGGAGGAGTAGACAGCACAGGTGGTCCTCACACGTGATTGGATTTACCCAGGAAAGGGAGCACTCCAGCTGGAAATCATATAGAGAAGCTCAGGGGGAAATGGTGGCGAAGAAGCTGCAGGTGGCGGTCAGGGAACAGCTGTAAACACAGCACCCTAACGGGGAACATGGATTATCTACGTGTTTTATGTTCATCTCGGTCACTTGCATTGCTTTATGTTCTTAAGTCAAGGTCATAATGTCCAGCTTTCGGGAAGGGCAAGGAAAGACTTGGTGAAAAGTGGATAGGGTACATGGGAATAAAGGGTTAATATTATCCATATGTGATCTTGCAAGAAACGCAATTTGGATAACTTGCTTGAGAGTATTAATTCATTTTAGAAAAATATTGAGAGGACAAGTCTGAAGGACAGTTTGCCTCAAATTAAACCTATATTCCACTTACCCATTCTGTGTTGTTACCTATGTAACCCATGTATGCCTCAAACAGGGGAATAGAGAAGAAAGCACACTTTTCCCAGGCAGGTAGAGTTAGTTCTGTCTGATGTGGGTAGAGGGACGGGACCATTAGTATAAAGGTTGATTCCTGGAGACAGATCAAAGGAGTTAAAGGTGGTCAGACCCTTGTGATTTACATCCCAGGAAGTGAAGTGGGTATGGGCCGAGAATATATGAGCAGGTGGGCACATGGTGAGGACACAGGTCAAGGCCTGGCTAGAAAGGGCTACAGAGAGTAAGGTGTGTCACTAGCACTAGCTTATTCTTCAGGAACAGAGCCGTGTACAGGTGAGAGGGCAGAGCGCGTGGGCTGGAGAGTAGAGGGATGTGCGGGAAGTATCACATTTGGTTCTGATACTTAAAAATACAGGCATCGATATCAAACTTAGAAGCTGAGAAGGATTCTTGTTCCACTTAGAAGTGGTTGAGAATTCCATGGAGATGAAATGTCTGGCTGCAGGCTTCGGACTGAACCCTCCTGCCTAGATCATTGTGTAAATATTGTAGTGCCTTTGAGCAAGTGTGATTTACAGAAGAAAAGTTCACCTTGTGTTATAATACTGTTTGCTTTCCATGTAAATGATGATTTCACTCAACTTCTATATAAATCCTATAACAATGCTTGATAATAAAGATACACCCCATTCACTTTCCATACATACTTAATTCTGGTTCTTAAACTGATGGAAGAATAAAATGGGGTAGAAGTGTTTTTGCACCTTCACTGATGCTCCAACCGGGGACCAAAAAAATAGAGATGACAAACTGAATTATAAAACAAGTTCTATTACTGTGTTTTTATATACTTGTTATAAGAAAAACACCCAATAGGAACTAAAACGTGTTGAACATTGCATTGAGCATACAAGTGAGCAATGCCGGGGCACCTGGGTGGCTTAAGTCGGTTGAGCATCCGACTTTCACTTAGGTCATGATCTCGCGGTTCGTGGGTTCGAGCCCTGCGTCGGGCTCTGTGCTGACTGCCAGCTCAGAGCCTGGAGCCTGTTTCAGTCTGTGACTCCCTCTCTCTCTGACCCTCCCCTGCTCACGCTGTCTCTCTCTCTCTCTCCTAGAAAAAAAAAACATTAAAAAAAAAACAAGTGAGCAATGCCACGTGATGTTGGTGGTTCTGAATGTATCACTTATGTGTGCATTGTCTCTAAGTTTCTTGAGTTTTAAAGTACTTAAGAATTGTTTTCTGGCATAGCTTGTTTCTGTGCAGATAGCGCTAGAAGTTTTTCTTCAAAATGTGATCCACATTACAGTATCTCCTGGTTCCTTGACTTGGTCATGGTCAGAACGTGTAGGTGTTCATTACATGCATTTGGGATTTTCTTAGGTGCGCCTTAGGTTTTCTTTATAGTCATCTGCATCATTGATCCCTGTGATTATTTTCTGGCATTTTGGTAAGAATATTAGGTGGCTTGATTGTGGGTCATACCATGCAAGGCAGGAACTGCAAATCTTTAGAGAGGAAAGTAAATTGAGGAGTTCTCCCAGGAATCACCCGAGAGGAAGTTAGGATTGGAGGATTCGCCTCAGGAACAGTTAATGTTGGGGGTGCTGTGCTGCAGTGTCTAGTTCATCTTACCAACTGTTGCCACTTTCCCCTCTTTGGTGAGTTAAAATGTTAAGTAAAAAGCTAAGTTCCTCTTTGTTTTCCAAAGGCTGTAATTAAAATATAAGTTCAAAGTAAGTTTCCCTTTGGTTTTCCAAAGAAAGTAATTAAAATGTAAGTTCAAAGTAAGTTCCCCTTTGTTTCCCAAAGCAAGTCTGCAGCTTTGGAAAACCAGGAGCTTGGAAAGAACGAACACTGCTTGAAATCCAAAAGCACCGAATGAGTCCCTTTTCTGTCCCGTACTTAGCTTCTGTGACTGCTGTGATTTCTGCCGTAGTGGAATGGCGTTATGTTTTCACAGGGAAGGGATTAGGTCAAGCTTTATACATATTATCTCAGTGCTTCACTGAGCTTCCCTGTGCCAGGCTTCTAGGCTCCAGGTCCCTGTGCTTGGCAGGATGCAGAAGCCTCCCCTCGAGGAGCATGGTCTAGCAGGGAAGACATAAAATGGAACAGTAATGCTAAAGGCATGATTGCTTTAGTGGGTAGCACATGATGCCATGGACAGTTGCGTCCAACTTCATTTGCAGGGAGGTGGGTCTGGGCAGGCTTTCCAGAACTGGCATTTGGTCAGAGAACTGAAGTTTGGGAAGGTTTGGCCTGAAGGTTTGATATAAGCAAGGATCCTAAGGGAAGAGTATTCTAGAGGAGAGAGAACAGTGAACAGTATGTGCAAAGGCCAGAAAGGGAGAGAGTTGAATGTGTAGCCTGGCAATAGGAACTTAAGGGAGTTCAGTCTGGCTGGAGCTCAGAATGCTTGGAGGAAATGGCAAGATATGGAGAGACAGTCAGTGGCTGGTCCTGGATGGCCTTGAACTCATATTTAGGAGTTTAGAGTCTCTTAAGAGGGGAACTATTGATGGATCCTGCCCAGAGGCAGGGCAAACAATTTAGTTTGTTGTAAGGTCAGGAGAGATTTGCCGGTGGCCTGGACTCGGTAGTGACTATGGGGGAGGAGCAGTGGAGGTAATCGTGAGGTGGAATAGACAGAACATGGTGACTGTTCCGCTGACAGGGACGAGAGGGGAGAGGTTGGGAAGACATGCAGATTTCGTGTTCAGTATTACGATGCTGTTCCCTGACGAGGTAGAGGACCTGAGAGCAGAGCAAGTTTGGGGAGAAAGATGTTGCCTTCAGGTATAAACATACAGACTGTTTTCACTACCTTAAAAATCCTGTTGAGTTCCAACTATTCATTCTCCCTAAAACCCTTGGCAACCCTGGTCTTTTTACTGTTTCCTTAGTTTTGTCTTTTCTAGAACATTCCATGGTTGAAAGCATACAGAATGTAGTTCTTTCAGATTAGATTCTTTTGTAATGTGTGTTTAGGGCACCTCCATGTCTCCTCATGGCTTGACAACTCCTTTCTCTTTAGTGCTGAACCATATTCCGTTGCCTCGATGTACCACGGACATGATGAAGTTTGGCAGAGAAGATAAAACTAAGGCTACTGTTAGGGAAGAAGGTAGACTCCGTCATGGGAAGAGTTTTATGGGATTGCGAATTTTTGTTGTTGTTGTTGTTTGTTGTTTGTTTATTTTTTTTTAAAGAACTTGAACATGTCTACGTGTTGGTGGTAGAGAGCCAGAGAAAGGGAGACACCTAAGAGGTCAAAGTCTTGGAGGGGGTGGGAGGGAATTGGGCCCAAAGCATTGGAAGGAAAAGGTGGATTTGCTTCTAGTAGGAGTTCCTCCTCCATAGTAGGAGAGAGCACAGGAAGGATGGGCAAGGAGTCTGGGAACATTATGGGAGTGACATTGAGAAACCCTCATTTCTCTGACCATCTGATGCTAGTGGGGGGGGGGAGGTGGAGGGATTAGAGGTTTATGGAGAAGGTTGTGGTCATACACAAGTATTGGGTGTTATGATCCACACACGTATGGAAGGCACCTTTGTCTTGCAGAGGT